AGGTTTGAGCATATATCAAATTCCCAATAATGGATACATAAGGAATTCTTTTCATTTCTATGCACTCTAATTCATTCACTCGGGCACTATATAATGCTAAATTTATCTCCTTTCGAAATTGAAACGAGTATTTTCAAAGCATTTTTCTATCTTAGATCACTCTAGAACTTTATTGATATATGTTTTCCGAGACAACTCTAACAATCTTTGTGATCGATCACATATTGTCACGTAAGATGTTTCGAGTCTATTTTTCATTTTAAAATTTTAAGAGAGGAATTTCATTTAAAGTTTTAAGAGAGGAATTTCTTGGTCTCATGTAATAAGCTAAGATCGTTAGCGACGAAGCTAGATATCATCAACATATAGAACGAGAACTAAACTTACTTTCACTAACCTTCAAATACATACACCGATCAATAACATTTTTCATAAATCCAATGGAAGTAATAATATCATTAAATTTAATATATCATTTCCTAGAAGCTTATTTAATTATATATATATATTGACTTCTTAAGTTTACACACCATATATTTCTTTTCTTTACCTAAAAACCTTTCAAGTTGATCTATGTATATATCTTCCTCTAAATTCTCATTCAAAAAGCAATTTTCACATTCATTTGATGTAGCTCTAAATCATAATAGGCTACCATTGCCATAAAAATTCTAAATGAGTTCTTTTTCGAAACAAGAGAAAAGGTTTCATTATAGTCAACACCATTCCTTTGAGTATAACCCTTGGCAACGAGTCTAACTTTATATTGTTCAATATTGCTATTTGAGTTGTGTTTGGTGTTAAAGATCCATTTATAAATATCTCTCTTATAATTTTCTAGCAATTGAATGAGATTTCAAACTCCATTATATTCCATTGATTCAACTCTTCTTTTATGACATCTAACCATTTAATAGAATTTCCACTTTCAATGACTTGTGAAAAAGAAACTAGATCATTATCCATTGTCAAGTTATTTTTTGACTCTTATAGATAGACTAAATATTCATCTAGAATAGCAAATCTCTTTTCTCTATAAGATCTTGTTAATGTTATTCCTTGTGATTTAACTATTGAATGTTCATTATCGGTGACTTCATTATGTAGAATTTGGTCATTCATATGTAATTCTTATGATTATTAACATGTTCAACAATTATAGGAATAAAAACTTGAGAAGAAGTTAAAGGTAAAGGAACTTGCACCCTAACTTCTTGGACGTCACTTTATGTGGTTCTATACTCTCACTAATTTCACCATTTTATATAAACTTAGCATTTTTCGGTTTCGGTAATCCTCATGCTATGGTAAGGATAATAAAACCTATGCCTCTTAGATTTTTTTAGATAACCAATGAAGAATATATATATATATATATATATATATATATATATATATATATATATATCATGTGGATTATAAATCCTTACTTCTATCAAACAACCCCAAATATATAGATGCTTTAAACTATGTTTTCTTTTAGTCCATAATTCAAAAGGAGTCTTTGGAATTGTCTTACTAGGAACTCTATTTAATAAATACATGTTAGTCTTCAAGGTATACATCCACAATGATAAGGGTCAAAAAGAATGACTTAACATACTTATAACCATGTCCATTAAAATACGATTATGCCTTTCTACAACACCATTATATTATGGTGTACCTAGCATTTTGTATTGAGCATATATACCATATTTTTCGGGGAACTTAGAAAATGAACTAGGACATTGGCTAGTTTTATCACACTTTTCATAATATTCACCATCCCTGTCAAACCTAACAATTTTCACCATTACATGCTAGGTATCTTTCAACCTCATTAATAAACACCTCTAAAGCATTTACCGATTGAGATTTTTCATATAACAAATAGATATAGCTATAACGTGAAAAATTGTCAATAAAGGTTATGAAATACTTTTCTCTACCAATAGATGAAACATTAAAAGGTCCGCATATATCAATGTGTATAATTTCAAAAAGATTTGTGCTTCTTATGGCTTGTTTCTTCTTCTTATTTTTTTTTATGTTTTCCTTTAATACGATCATATAAATATCAAGATTAATAAAATCCGGATCCGAAAGGGTTTTAGTCCTTACTAATTTGACTATTCTTTTTTTAGATATGTAACCCAAACATTTATACCATAAGTAAGCTTAACTTTCATTCACTAAACCATGTTTAGTATCAAAATTATAATGCATGCCATTAGAGTCTAACCAAAAAGGTTGTCAAGCTATAATTTGTATAGATCATCACAAAAAATACTAGACCCAATAAGATGATTATGTTTAAAAAAATTAAAACATCCATTCCCAAATTCAAAAGAATATCCAATTTGTATTAAGTTTTGATAAGGAAACTAAATTTTGAGAAATAGAAGGACGTAAAGAGTTTAAAAAAGATCTAGATGATGTCCAATGTCTAAAATTAAGCGATAGGTTCCAATGGCTTCAACTGGGGATTTGACTCGAGTTTCCCATGAAGATAAATTTTTTATTTGGGTTTATGATTTGGGTCATAAGAAATTCTTGTATCATAATAGTAACATGAGTGAAACAATCGAATCAATCCATCAAGTATTATAAGAAACTTTTGCTAAATTTGATTTAAAACATACAAAAAGACTAGGCTTACCTTTCTTTTTGGACCATGCCTTATATTTCATGCAATCTTTTTTATAGTGTCCAAGTCTTTTGCAACAATGACACTTATCACTCTTTGGTTCCTTTTTGTGTATTGGGGAAGACGGCATATTAACCTTTTGTGCTACTTGTTTGCCCTTTCCTTTATTCTTTTTAGGTTTCTTTCCAGCTCCTCGATGATCCACATGATTAATTGAGTGAATTTCTTACTTCTTAAGCCTTGCGTCCTCTTGAATAAGCATACTTTGCGGTTCATTTACAATCTACTTATCCTTTATAGCATTAGGAATCTCAAGCGAGTCATCATGATGTTGTTACTCGATATTTAAGAGACTTTTAAAAATTACAATGAATTAGTTTGGTTAGATGGGGAAAAGAATTAAGAAAAATATTTTAAAGTCGCTACCTAATATTTAAAGAAAACTAAAAAACTCAAGGTGAGCACTAGAATTAGATTCTAAGGTAAAAAGTTAATTATACTTTTCAAAAGATATAAATCACTTAAAGGCATTCTTTTTGAAAAAAAACATCATGTCTAGTTCAATCACACACACACACTAAGAATCTATTTTGTCAAATTATTTCTAAGTTTATTTTCAAATTTGTGTATTGTCTAAACCAAAATTATTTTTTATTTTTTATTGTGGCATCATATTGAATTATCATTGGGTTTTGACACTAGGAGTTTCGTCAATTCAACATCGGATCCAATTAAATTTTTGACATAACCGAGATGTCAAAGTATGACTTAGTTACTAAGGGTGATGTATTTTCATTGTTATTGAAAATAACGTACGACGCTATTAAATACGAGACTCGTTAAATTAACTTAAAAGCCCTTTTTTTATTTATTTTTATTTTATCTTCTTTTTTTTGACATTTTTTAGTATTATGATTTTGATGGAGGATCATCATCGGTCTCTAAAATCTACGAGACTCGAAAATCCATCATCACATTACTTAACTAAATGATAATAAATTACAAGTACTAAATAAATAGATCATAAAATCATGACTAATGCTAAATAAATACAAGATTAGCTCATAAAATTATGAAACTTGGCACACAACTTATATACAAGTATAAAATCACATCCTAAAATTTTTAGGTTAAAATAAAATTAAAGAGTAGACTAAATTAAAATTTGAGACAATCAATGCAATTAACAAGTAGACATAAAATTAAATAAATTCAAAATAAAAAGTAAATCAGCTTCAAAAATTTTGAAAATTTAAACCTAAGCTAAAGATAACCATATATAACACATAAAAAATTTAAAGTCAAAAGGAGCAGGGAAACCTTGTTAAAATGAATCCTAAAAAATATATCCAAAGGCTCATTGGGCCCTTAGCCCAACTCATAGCCCAGCTCGTGGCCTTACTCTCTTTTCTTCTATCTGGACCGTAGTCAAGAAAAACTCCAATCCACCCTAAGTTTGGACCCAGCCCTTCTCTAGTCTACAACCCAACCCAAACCTATAGCCCAGTCCATGCCCAACATAGCCTAACTTGACAAAAGCTCCAAGCCGGAGCCCATTTTTTCTTTTTGTCCTTTCTCCCCAGCCCGAGCCCTTTTCTTCCTCTCTTTATTTTTTTTGTTGGACCTAACTCAACAGAGCCCAACCCAGGTATTCATCCTATCTCAGCCTGCAAACTCATTTCTTCTCTTCTTCCGAGCCTGAGAGCCTCTTTTCTACTTCTTTCTCTCAACCCAGAATCCAATCTCTAGAATAACAAAGCAATAAATCTACAGACTTATATCTTGGGTTTGTGTATTGCTATCCTATGAAAAAATATTGGATTTGTATATAGTGACAATGACAAAAGCAGTATCTTTAATTCGAGAAAATAAGAAGAGGTTCAAGCTTTTAAGAAATTAATGAAGATCAAAAGTAGCCATGAAGCAAAACTGAACCATATAATTGATCTACACCATTTAAGGGAACAGAACTGAGAACTTACAGATTATATATATATATATATATATATATATATACATTTTTTTTTTTTGGTTCTTCTGGACATGTTTATTTCCATGCGTAGCTAACTGAAAAAAAAAAAAAAAAAAACATGAAAAATACCCTATTGAAGCTTAGCAGACGAAAGAAAACGATTGGTGGCAGGGGGATTTAAAATACGAACGATCTTTCTTTTCTGAGGATTTCCCATTGATTTCTTTCGAACTCCTCCTCTTTTTCTCTCTTGTTTACTGCCAATCTATATACGCTCTACTCATCTTCTCTAATTCTCTGTTTTTTTCTTCTTCTTCTTCTCTCTCTCTCTCTGTTTTTCCCTCTCTTTCTTCTTTTCCTCCAGAGCCAACTCAGGCCCCTATTTATCCTCTATTTTGCTCATTCCTCTGCAAACCCATCCTCACCCTTCCTCCTTGAAGCCAAAAAAACACAGACGTTTCTCTTGTCATTTTCCCCGTTGCTACCACTGTCATTCTCATTTGTGCAACATGTAGGACGACGTGCATTGGGAAGATGGAGGACAGAGCCAGCCTGTTGGGAAGGACAAGGCTAGTTGGGACTGAGTGACAAAAGTCACTCTTGGCCAAAATGAAGAAATCAAATCAAGAGATATCACGTGTTTTGGCTGGAGAACATTGTGAACACTCCGTTCACTCTCTTCAGAACGCATTGTTTTGAAGTGCTAAATTAGTCCTCCAATTTTTCATTTTTTTACACTTATACCCCTAAAGTATCTGATTTTGGTTTTAGTTCTTTTAATTACTGTTCAATTGCATCCCTATTTCCTTCAATTTCAGTTTCTGTTTTCGTTCAATTGCACCCTAGATCCTTTGATTTTGATTTTTGTTCTTATAATTTTTTTCAATTGCACCTCTATGTCTTTTGATTTTGTCTTCTACTTTTATTCAATTACACCCCTATTTCCTTTCAATTTTAGTTTCTATTTTTGTTTAATTGCACACGTAATTTTGTTTCCTCAAGAATTAATCATGTTTGTATTTTTTCTTTTTCTTGTGCTTTTTCTTTTGTATTTTCATTTCTTCACAAAAATAAAAAGAAACTAACCTAATTTTATATTTTCATTTTTCTCTTTTTTAAAAATTTTTTATCATTGGTTTTTTTTTTATATAAAATGAAGATAAATTGTACTAAAACCTAAAAAATTTAAATATAATAATAATAATAATAAATGTGCACATGTAAGATAAAATTTGTAAAAATAAAAATTATGAAATAAAAATGAATAAAAGGGGAGGGCAAATTTTTGGCTATGAAAAAAGCAACAATCAATCAATCAATCGAGTAGAATAGAAAGTAGTAAGAGAAGTGAGAGGAGAAACGAGACAGTGCTAATAAGAAGCAAGTCAATAGATAGACAAACGAGTGAATCAAAATCCAAACGAATGGAGGTTTAGTTGTTTCCTTATGTGTAAGTGAGAGAGCTTTGAGAGAGAATTTAGATAGAGTTTAGAGGTTTTGGCAAGGATCAAAAAGTTCTAACACCTTCATAATGATATAAAATTTATATTTATAATAAAATAATAATGATCTTTAACGAGTTAAGATCGTGCCACATCATGCATATTTAGACGAGTTAGATTTTAGTTGAAGAAACCGATTTTTATTTTTTGTTAAAACTTCAACTTATTAGCAAAGGCTAAAGAAAAAAATAATAATTAGGTCTCTCTTTAACATACTCTCCTCAAAGTCCACCAAGCCAATTTTTATAATATATTCTAAATACAAGGCGTGAACACTAGCCTTGTCAAAATAGTTAGGTCCATCCTTGCGTGGGCCCAAAATCTTGTGTTAAGCTAGGCCCATCATCAATCTAATCTATTTGTTATGTAGGTTGGATCTATACATAAAACCAAGAAAAATAATAAGGATTAATACATAATAAAATTGACTAATTCTTATGGATGAATTGACATATACATTCATCTCCCTACACAAGCAACCTTACCAACAAGGGTGTTCGTGCAATCTTGTATAGTGAGATAAAAAAATAAAGTAAGAAAAAATAACCTCACAATGACAAGAGTAGACTTGCCACAAGTCTCTTATCGCATACCAAATAAATAGTAAAAAGATGCAATAAGCTAGTCATGAGCCTTTCGACATATAAAAAGTATAAGCTTGCTAAAAGCCTATCCGAAAGTAAGTTTTTAGAGTAGATTTCGATCTTGAAAATGGCATTTGATGGTTTTTTATCGCCAATAATTGTAGAATATTGAATTAGCTTTTTGGATTAGTAAAATTTGCATCAAACAAATAACCACACACACACACAGATATATATATATATATATATATATATATATATATAGCCATCACTTGCTAGTTTGTTTTTCTTTGGTGGCCAAGATCTGTTTTACTTGCTAGCTTTGCTTTTCTTTAGCGATCAGCATTTTGTTGCTTGGTGCACTTGTTAACCTATTTTTCTTTAGTGGTCGGCATTTGCTCGCTAGTTGCACTTGTTTGCTTGCTTCTTTTTTCATGGCCAAAACTTTACCTCTTGCTATTCTTATTAGCTTGCTTTTCTTTGGTTGCCAACACTTGTCAACTTGCTTTTCTTTGGTAACTAGTTAGGAGTGAGCAGTATTGGATTTTAAATGAAAAAAAAAACCGAACCAAAATAGTAATTTAGGTTTGATTTAAAAAAAAAATTAACAAAAAAGCAAACCAAATTTATTTTATGTTTTTTCGATTTGGATCAGTTTAATCAAAAAACCAAAAATAAAATAAAATACATATAAGAAAAAAGGCCCTAATGCACCCTTCTCTATTTCTCACTCATACTTTCACTCTAACTACCTTTCTACCCCTCCCGTAGATGACTAGAAGTCCGCCAAAATTAGAATGTAAGATTTGAAACCAATGCATGCCTTCTCTTAGTTAAAATTGATTCACACTTGTTTCCTTCCTCACTCTCTCTCATAATCCGACTCTCTTCTCTATCAAAACTAGAAGCAATTTTTTGTTTTTTAATTTCATGGTTGAAATTAGATGCAATTTTTTAATAAATAAATGCATTTTTTGTTTATTAATTTTATGTTTGAAAGTTTAAGGTTGATTTGCATGGAAAAAAAAATCGGATGTGATTTTGTATTTTTCTACAACATTCAAGACATATTTGATTACATCTTTTAATTGATTTTTTTCTCATCTTTTATTTGTTTATTTTATTTTATTGGTAAAATTTGATGTGGATTTGAATGTTTTGATTGATTTGATTATTAGGTTGTAACTATTACTATTTTGATTGTTAATTTCTTATGAGCATTGTGGTTTTTTAAGAAAATATTGAATTTAAAGTTCACTAAATTTATCTAACACAATGGAGTGCATGAGTCAAAAACATAAAATGATGTTTTAATACTTATTTATGGATTATTGGTGATTTTAGATTTTTTACAAAATTTATACCAAGATTTAAGAACAAATAAGAGTTTTTAATCACATTAAGTTTTTAAGGACTCTTTCAAATGTTTTTATGATGAGATGATGGGTCTTTAATGACAAAACATCTAACAAATAGTAGTTGTGTCATGCATGACAAAAAAAAAAAAAAGGTTTAAACCAAAAAACCATAAACCAAAATCAAAATTTTGGTTTTTAAAATAAAAAACCAAACTCTAATTCGGTTCGAGTTCGGTTTGTGTTTTTGGTGGTCTAGTTAACCAAAAATCGAACTAAAATAGTATAAAACCAAACCGAAAACCGAATGCTAACCCTTATAGCTAGCACTTACTACTGGCCGCACTCGTTGGCTTGATTTTCTTTGATGTTCAACACTTTGTTACTTACTTGCTGGCTTGCTATTCTTCGATAACCGGTCGCACTTATTGGCTCATTTTTCTATACTTGTTTTTCTTTGGTAGCCAACACTTTCTAAATTGCTTACCGGCCGATTGTACTTGCTAGTTTCGGCTTGCTTTTCTTTGGTGGCTAGTTACACTTCCCGGCTTACTAGTTTGCTTTTTTTTTTTTATGGCTTACACTTTGCTTGTTTGATGTACTTGTTAGCTTGCTTTTCTTTGATGGCCAGCACTTTGTCGCTTGTTACCTCTGCTAGCTTCTTTTCTTTGATGGTCATCACTTGTTGGCTTGCTTTTGTTGCGTTAGAAAAATAGAAAAATATTACCCGAAAATTTTGAATGAAAAACACCAAAGCAACTTTACTTGAATTTTTATAGGTGACTATCTCGAGGAACAACCGGGTTGCTTTCTTGAGACGGTATGCGTCGTCCGTAGAATTTTTCCGATGCAACGAATTAGGAATATATTGCACGTCGTCTCGGAGATACAACAAGCTCGATCACCTTCATCGTGTCTTGACAAGTTTGCACTACTTGTAAGACTTGAAACTCAATTATAAAATAACATCACTCTTACCCAAAGAAAGATTAACAATAAAAAATAATATGGCTTTTAGTGGGAAATAAAAAGTAATAAAATTGAAAGAAACTTTTTCTCTCTAAGCAAAATAAAGGGAAAAAAAATTGCTTGCTATTTTTTTCACTCTCCACCGAGTAGGGAAATGTCTCTGTTTAAGTGAAGTTCACCAAATGGCAAATGCCATTTATATAGGAAAAAATTTGCCCGTTGGTTGGTCGGATTAATTGAAAATAAATGAATAAACGGAAGAAACGTTTAAAAAAATGTTGTATTCATTGAATGAGAAAAAGAAAAACTGATACAGATTTTGTTTTAAAACACAATTCAATATATAAGTTATTGTTTGAAACAAGTAACTTATACCTCTTCACTTTGGTGTAAGTTACTCGTTTCAAATAGTAACTTATACCTCTTTTTTTTAAAATATAAAATACATATTTTTATTAAAAATAGTCCAACAATCCCCCACTTATTTTTAATAAAATATTAGGCATATAATTTTGGTTAAGGAAACAAATATAATACATAATAAGGGTGCCAATGGCTTGAACCCTTACTTAGTGTTTCAACAACATTTCTCTCAAGCCAATAGTGAACATTGTCTTGAACTAAGGCTTTTTAAATGAAACAAATATTGTATCACATATATTATATTCGAGTACTTTGCGATGAGTTTTAGAGCCAACACATTAACGGCACTTGTGCTTGATCCCGACTTTATGAGTGTTCTAGAGAATTAGCCTAATTCTCATAGGAAGCGGCCCTACTTCCTCACTTATATAGGTGTGTCTATCAAGGATGCTCCAATAACTCTAGCATCCCATTCAATAAGAACTGTAGACCACATTAAAAGTTTCTTCTAAAAAAACTTAACCTTTTTTTCGTTATGGGAATCATGCATTTGCACCATAGGGATGGAAAAATATACTAGTGCATGATAATCAACTACTCTTATGATTCATTTTTCCCTTTGAACCTAGATCTTAGGATCTCCAGATCAATTAGGTAGGGTATCCTCATAAGTAGTTTATTTATCTTTGGGCTTTAGACCCATCCCCTTCGATGTTATCCGGATCTTATCTTTGACCAAAGCTTTTGTGAAAGGATCGGTTAAATTATCCTTTGTATTGATGTAATCAATATGTATGGCATTTTTGTTTATATACGACCTCACAGATCTTGTGTTTTCTTCTAACAGATCTGGATTTTCCATTATAATATCTATTGTGCACGGTTCCAATAGCAGTTATGCTATCACAATGAATTAAG